ATTTTTGTAATGGCCAGCCTTGCCACAGTGTGTGCAGATTTTATTTTCAGGAAGAGTGAGGTAATTGCTTCAAGAGTCCCATTTTGGAGCTTGAGTCCCATAGCCAAGTCCTCTTTTGTTGCTACTGTGATGCTCTTGCAGCCAAGAGAGTGCATCAGAAGCCTTGTTCCACTTGCAAGTTCTGTCTAGTTCATGTTTCACCTTTCCTAGATCTTCCTTCAAGACTTTGATGAGTTCATCTTTCTTATACAATTCATCTTTCATTTTTCCCAAGTTTTCTTCTAGAGTGAGATATGTGTGATCAGCTTTCTTCTTTCCTGTTCCTAGTTTCAGTTTTAAGTTTTCAGACCTAAGTTCTAAGATACTGTTATCAAGTTCAAGAACCCGGTTCTTCAACTCAACATTTGTGTTATTACTCTCATTAGCCCTAGACTCTAGACTTTTGCATTTTGCTTTTAAGATTACACATTCCCTCGACAGAACTTCTTTCTCATTGTTAATTATCTCAGACTCATCAATGAAGTCTAGTAGTAGCTCAACCAACTTTTCTTTAGACACAAATTTAATCTTATTTTTGAGATGAAGGATACTTACCGCTTGTTCATCATCTGATTCTCCGATGGCCATCAGTGCTTTCTCTTCTTCTGCTTTATCTTCCGAATCTTCATCTGAAGTTTCTCCCCAAGCAGCAACCATAGCCTTGGTTGAACCTTTGTTCCTTTTTGGTTGAACCTGTTCCTTCGTTCAGCCCTTTCTTTCTTCCACTCAATTTCTCATTGAGGGCAGTTCTTGATCATGTGATCAGTCTTACCACACTTGTAATAACCCTCATTGGTCTGTTTCTCAGGAGCTCTTGACTTGTTGAAGGTTGTACCTCTTGAAGAACCCTTTCCTCTCATCAGGTACTTTTTGAATTCTCTAGTGATCATAGCCATCTCATCATCTTCCAGATTTGAACTTTCAGCAATTCTGAGAGCTAGGCTTCTCTCCTTCTTGGGTGTATCCATCTTCATGGTTTGCCTTCTCAGTTCATAAGTAGTAAGATTTCCAATTAGTTCATCCAGTCTGAGAGTAGCAATATTCTTGGATTCCTGAATGGCCGTGATTTTGCTTTCCCATGAGACTGGCAGAACCCTTGTTAGGATTTTCTCAACCTTGTCTTCTTCAAGAATAATCCTTCCAAGGAACTTAAGTTTATTTGTCAGTGTAGTGAACCTAGTATACATCTCTTGGATAGTTTTTACTTCCTTCATATTAAAATTCTCATATTGAGAATACAACAGTGTTCCTCTAGATCTTTTCACTTGAGGTGTTCCTTCATGAGCCACTTGCAAAGTATCTCATATCTCCTTGGCAGTAGTACAACTTTGGATCCTACTGTACTCATCTGGACCTAGTCCACACACAAGCCATTTCTTGACCTTAGCATTTTTCTCCCACTTTTTTAGGTCTTCAGCAGTGCAGTCAGCCCTTGTCTTTGGCACAACCACTCCTTCCTCATTTTTCATTGTAGTTGCCAAAGGACCATCAATGACTATGTCCCAGAGTTCATAGTCTTCTCCTATAATGTGATCCTTCATCCTGTTCTTCCACCAAGAGTAGTACTGTCCATTGAATAGTGGAGGCCTAGCAGTGGATTGCCCTTCCCAGTTCCCAGGTGGAGCACTCATGTTGATCTTTTCCTAAGATGTTAGCCTCTTCAAGGATAACCTGCTCTGATACCAATTGATGTTCTAAACGTCAATACCACACAAGCTGGTTCTTCTAGGTGTTCTAACTGCTACTGTTGCGGAATTAAAAGTACAAAAAGTAAAGAACACAGAGATTTTTACGTGGAAAATACCTGGCTCAAAAGGTGAAAAAACTACGACCTACTACTCAGTAGGATTTTTCCAAACATCCACTAAAATCACTGAGCCAAAACAGCATTTACAAAACTCTTTGTAAACCTAAGGATTAACTCTAATCCCTGTGTAGCACACAACCTTAACTGTTGCGACACCTTCAAGTTAGCTTATAACTTGAACACTCAAAGTACCTATTACAAATGCTTCTATGAAAGCTGAAAAGGTACAACTTTAAACCACCTACTATAATTGAACTAGAATAAGAATAAACACAATGGAACTGGTTCTTCTATCTCGTTCAAGTAGCTTCAGGTTTGCACACTTGAATTACACACGAACTGCTTGCAAAAAGCGTTGCTATTTTGCTCCCTATTCACGTTTAACTTCTGCGTATGTGCAACACCTGTAAAAGAGAACAATCACTGTTATTTAATGAGTTAGTAATCAGAGTTTGATTGAGACTCAATTGCTGATCTTCCATCGAAGTTGAGTCCTTGTTCAATACAAACTCCAACCCTATCATTTATCCGGATTATGTGATTGTGTCCTCTTCCCATAATGAGACTTTCTCTCCTCATCCAATATGCAATCTTTTCGATCAGTTCAGGAGATATTGCTGCTTGATTACTGAGACTTATCTCCTTCACGTGTATCTCACATATCTAGGTTGATAAATACTATGCCTCACATGATGAACCTGGTCCATGACTGAGTTCATTTGTCATTCTTCAAAACTTCACCTGAATTTGGGCCAACAACTTACTGGCAGAAACTGGTAATTTGGCTGCCAAGCCTTGCAGTACTCCAGTGTTCCTAATTTGCTTCTTATGAAAGATGATGTCGATCCATTTAATGATCCAGGTATATACAGGAGGTTAGTTGGGAGATTAAACTATCTAACTGTGACTCGTCCAGATATTGCTTTTGCTGTAAGTATTGTTAGCCAGTTTATGTCCGCTCCTAAGGTCAAACATTGGGCAGCACTGGAACAAATTCTATGTTACTTAAAAGGAGTCCCTGGACTTGGCATATTATACAGCAATCGTGGGCATTCTCACATTGAGTGTTTTGCAAATGCAGATTGGGCTGGATCCAAAATTGATAGAAGGTCTACTACCGGCTATTGTGTCTTTGTGGGTGGAAACCTGGTATCATGGAGAAGTAAGAAACAAAATGTTGTATCTCGATCCAATGCAGAATCCGAATACAGGGCTATGGCACAGACTACGTGTGAGGTTATGTGGATACATCACCTTCTCACGGAAATTGGTATAAAGCATACTACACCAGCAAAACTTTGGTGTGATAATCAAGCCGCTCTTCATATCGCCTCAAATCCGGTATATCATGAAAGGACAAAACATATTGAAGTTGACTGTCACTTTATTCTTGAGAAGATTTAGGAAAACTTGATTTCTACTAGTTACGTGAAGACAGGAGAGCAATTGGCTGATGTATTCACAAAGGTGTTAAATGGAACTCGAGTTAATTATCTTTGCAACAAGCTGGGCATGATTAATATCTATGCTCCAGCTTGAGGGGGAATGTTAAAGAATGAATGTAGACATAAAGAATGAATGTAGACAGATTACTTGTGCTATACATAGATAGAAAAGTATTGAGATTTGATAGCAGATTTTTAGGATTTTCCTTTTACTTCTTTCCATAGTTAGGATCCTATGTGCATGTATATATATGTATCACTTCATGGAAAAAGATACCAACTTCGATTCTTCCATACCTTGGTTTGTCACACTTCCATTCTGTATTAAGTATGCTTATTGCGAATAATAATCACTTCTTGTCTTCTGCATGATGCTATTCTTGCGATCATAAGATATGAAACATTAGGGAGTAATCATTCTGATCTGGAAATGCATAATGTGCTTCTAAGTGTCTTATTGTTCCCAATGGATATTACATTATTACAGCTCTATTTTCTACTGGAAATCCAAACTAAAAGATTTCCTAGTTAGCTTTATTTCTTGATCTTTTTTCTTTTTCATTTTATCTTCTATACAGAAAGAAATTGTGCTACATCTTTTTGCTTCTCTGTGTATTCAGGAAACAAGAATGGGAACCAGGAAAAAGGGGAAACTGTTACGGCGAGAAGCTCCCCATAAAGAACCAAACCAATAAAACTAACCTCGACTTGCCCACAACGCTGATGGTGGAAAAAGTACTAGCTAGGCTGGGCTCAAAGGTCTCCGTTCTCAACATCACTCGCCTTACAGCATACAGGAAAGATGGCCACCCTAGCATTTATCGCCAATTTTATAGTATACTCTCCCCTGAGGAATTAGCAAACCCTGCAAGTTACTCGGATTGCATCCACCGGTGCTTGCCAGGGGTGTCTTATTTATGGAATGAGCTACTATTTTAGTTTTTCTGACACGACGAAGGCTTAGTCCGATTAAGGATTTTAAGGCAGTAGGTGAAGAATACTACTGCATTCACTACTATTTTGTGGCTGATCCTTCAGTTATGAAACTTTATGCATAGAGCACAATGTACATCTGAAAAGCATGTGATTTTTGTTGTTCATAGGTGAAAAAATTTAGTTGACAGAACCCACTGCATAATGAAGAGAGTTTGGTGAATTTCAGAGTTTCACTTTATTATATAGTAGTTATAGCCGTTAGTAGTAGTAATATTGATGGAAAATTTGAACCAATAGCAGTGACCACATGCGACTTGGTCAGTCAGTTTTGTTCACCCTTTGCCTTTTAAAATACAAAAATTGTATTATCGCTTGAATTCAAATAATCAAACCTACCAAACTAAGATTTTCTCATCCCACATATTTGAATGAAGCATTTTTAAAAAGCCCGAGTTTAAACTAATACCCAGAAATCAAAGGAGAAAATCAACAAAGCAGACCAATTTCAAGCCACTATCATGACACAAAATGAGTATAGTTCTAAAGTTGGCTGTTTGTTTATCATTAAAACTACTAATATGTTGGAGTCATGACTCAAAAGTGCAAGTTGAGTAAGTTCTAAAGTCGGCCTGTTGGTTGGCTCACATCACCATTTTAACAACTATAGTAGATCCAAACATAAACTTGCGATGGAGCGAACTATTTGTGTGTCACTTGACTATTAACAAGAAATAACATGGTCACAGTTGAACTCGATTATGACAATGTGAAACTTGTATGGACAAAAGTTCAATCTTTAAGGAAATATAAAAGTGAACATACCGGTAAGAGATTTAAATTGAAAAATTGCAACTTCACTTGATATCGTAATTTAATAAGATACTTATAGTTGACTTAGATGACATTTATCACAAGGCTGACTTCTTTTCAAGTAACTTGATACTAATCATTAACATATTCTTTGACATATTACTCGTTCATTTAATTTAAGATATACTTTAAACAGATAAACTATTTCAAACTAAAATTATATTTTCTTCTATCCTGAAATTAATTTATTTTTGCTACAACATAAATAGTTAGGAAGATAGTGATAAATTCAAATTGACGTTAAACGCATCAGCAGATGGGGTGAGCGAGCCTCCTGGCTCAATTTCTGCCACATTCATGTCAACGTCACATTTACAGTAGTCTCCATCTTTAATTTGATCTTCACACTTACAGTAATCTGAATCTTTAATTTGATCTTCCATAGAAATTTGAGCAGAATCTACATCAACCAATCTTGGCATGTCCTTCACCGGATTCTGTCAAGATTCAAACACAAAAGTCATCATATAGTAGTTGAATTTCATTAAAGCTCAAACCCTTCAAACATCAAACCGAACCAAAGGTTTTGAATATTAGATAGATGGTAGCATGTTAAAATGCTCTTAGAAGCTTAGAGATATGTATGAGAATAAAAGGAAAATGAAAATAAAGGTTAAAGCACACACATACTAGTCCAGTTCAATATATCAAACTCAAAATTATGCATTTTCCTAGGTTTTTCATTTTGTTCGGCTTGTAGAAGCCGAGTTCCATGTGAACATTAGATAGCAAGATTTAAAATTCATAGGGAAAGCATTAATTCATGCACATACAGAGAAATATTCAAAAGAGTGTAGACCTTCTCTTTCCTGTAAATGGTGCCATCTTCTTCAAAATGCCAACCAGCTTCATCACATAGTGCCTTGAGAAGATCATTCGTGTCAGCATGCTTCGGCAGCTTATAGTTTCCATGAGCCCTCAGACCGGCAAAGATCTTGTGTGCTACAGCTCGACGTTTTTGTTCTCTTTGCTTGTTTTTCTGCCTCTCCCTATCAGAAGGATACCGGAACTTTGTCACTACGCTGCCATTTTTTGTGGTTTTGTGAACCAACCATGGCCCTCTACTGGTTTTTATGCACCCTCTAAGAACACTTCTTCTCTCTTCAACCATAGTTATGAGTTCTAGCTACTTTCCTCTTAGCTTGTTTCTTTGTTGTTCGTTCCTCTTCTGGTTGTGATAGTAATAATTAATTTATATATAGAAAGACAACATGTAGACAAATTAGCGATAGTACAAATAGCACAACATGTATTCCTCCATTTTGGCGTGAGTACTATATATGTTTGTGAAGTCCTTTTAACTTACTATAAAATATTTTACACAAATATCAATCATGATCAAAGAAACTTTACTGAGTGCAGAAGATTTTATATTAGTTGGTCTTTTTACAGTTCTCAGGAACATTGACAAGTGTCAAATTAATAGAATTAACATCCTCCTCTAATTTTCTATTTGAGACATATTATCAACTAACTCATGAAGTAAATTAGGATTGTTAATTTCCATGTTGCGTGAATTCTCTATCGAATCCGTGTCGGATTTTTCAAAAATATACTTTTTTGGGAGGAGCCGAGTACGCCGAATATTTTTTGTAAAGTCCAAGCAACATAGGTTAATTTAGTTGATATTTAATTGGTGTTGGTGAGAAAACTCTTTTTTTCTTTTTCTTTAAATCTTGGATTAGTTATAATGTTTCCAACTTAATTATTACTAGTTAATGTATTAAGGAAAAATAAAGCTAGTTGAGACATGAATAACAATTACTTCTATAATTGGACAAGAAACAACAAATAAAGCAGCATAAAATTATTTGTTGCTGTCGGATATCAAGACACGATCAGGTGAGAGTACTTATTTTCTGAAATTTTGATCTTCTGCTCCCTTTTGTCCAAATGCAATGAAGAAATCAAAGAATATATGAGTACAGTATACTACAGCCTTCTTGATTAGCCACAGACAAAAGTACTCTTTTTATTCTTTGATTCCTCATATGACATTTGGACAAAAAGGAGCAGAAGATTAAAAATAAGTTTTTCTGGATCTTTATAATAATAACCGGAAAAATGACATTGTATAGCCGTTCTAATAATCATAACTGAAAAATATATTTTTTTGTATACATTAAGATATGTTATATACAAAAAATATACAAATTTTTAACTTTCTTTTGCGCCGGATGTAAATAATTTCGGCCACGGACTAAAAGTGATCTTCACCGATAATAATTTGGAAGGTTACCCATATAAATTCATCTGCTTCGGATTAATTCTTTTTGATTGAGATCTTTTAAAGAAAATCTACATAGAGTATTCAATAATAATAACTCAATATATAACCAATTAATTGTAATGAAGAAGCAAATGAGATTAATTTAATTCAAATACCAATATGTTATTTTAATATTAAATGCGACTAAATTAAGCAACCAAAAGGGTAATAATTCTATCATGGACTGCTTAAGTGCAGGTTCAATCCCACCAAATTAAGAGCCTCCATTATTCTATATATACCTTGAATTTCTCTTTTTAAAAGGTCAGAAAAGAAGTAAGAATTAAGTGAAATATTAGAATGTGGTTAAATAAAAAAAAAGTTCAAACTTGTTTCGCTAAAAATAATCTCCCTCCCATTTATATGAGAGTACTTAACTATACAATTAAGATATGTTTATATTAGTGGTACAATGGTGTACACATGAAATTTTATTAGTAGCGTCAACATTTGAAAATGTGAACAAACAAATATATTACTATAACGATAAGCAATGTTATTTTTATATTTTTACCCCATATTTTCATTTTTCTTATTATCTAAACGTGTCACGACTCACGTAATATCGCTTGGGGCAATGTACCTGCGCCCTTGAGTGGTAATAAAGGAGATATGTTAGTTTTTGGGTGCGAAGTAATTTTTGGGTTGAAATGTTAGTTTCATATAAAGAACACCACACCAAAATAAAAAATTGGGATCAATAGTTGTCTTCCTTTTGCAAAATCCCATTCTTGCTTTACGACGATAATTGCTTTTGTTGACTAGTCAGTAGTCATACTGAGAGTTTATGAAAAAGCAACAAACTGTGAATTTTGAAGAAAGAATGGAGAGAAAATAGGTTATGAAACTTTCTATAGGATCTCAAAAAAGTATCCATTTTAATGAAAGAATCTTCTCTTATTTCTCCTTAACAAAACAAGGGAAAGCTACTTTCTATCATTTCTTTTTGTCTTGTTCATTCTAAATTCCTATTCTAGTTTTCTTTCGTACTCGTTACTCAGTTCTCAAGTAGCAGGGTTGTTTGTTTGGGCATATTTATATTTAATTTAAATATATAAATGTTTATATTTAAATTAAGAAAAATAGTTCTACTTTCCCTTCTCTTTTCCATTGACCATTGCTCTCATGATACGACACGAATATGGTATGACACCAGCCCATACTCAGGTAAAAACTTACTCATATTAGGTATTTATATCCACCCAATAAATACATAATATAAGTCTTCACAAACATAATTTAACACTAAAATATAATTAATTAAGATATATTCTCATCTTGATTTATCACTTAATCTGTTAATCATGATAAATTAGTATTGGGGCAGGGGTAGAGCTAGAAGGTTATCTATGAGTTTGGCTGAATTCCATAATTTTAGTCCAAATATTGTATCCATATGAAGAAATCCACTCGATATGTGCAAAAATTAAATTCAAAACTCTATTACTAACATCTGATATTGCTATTCTAAAATTTAGAATTCATAGAATACGAATCTTAATTCCACCTATAATAATAGGAGGTGTTATACCATGTTCATGTCATATCATAATTGTGTTATGTGTCAAACAAAACCTGCCTTATCATGGATCAAAGACTTGAACAATATTATGACGAATGTGTCACAAAATAGCTATATTATTATGAGTATATTACTTCGAGAAAATGACACTGCATCCAGAAACCGTCTTCGAAAATGAAACCTCTAAATTGGTTTGAAAATGCTACGGGAAAAGTTAAAAATCTATTACTGCATAATAGAAGAAGGCCATTAGCCCAATTCCAAAGAAGAATTAATCAGAATTGCACAAAGTTTAAACTAAAAACAGCTGGTTGATATTTTAATACAGGTATAATTAATGGG